AATATTTAATATATATATTATTTTATTTATACAAAAATATAATATGTTATACAATAATTACTAATTAACATTATATTAGTATGCTACATTATATAATAATTAATATAATATATGAATAATATATATAATATAATACTTTAATAATATATTATTTAATTTAATATATTATAATATAGTATCATAGGATATAATGTACTTTATAAAATATTATAATATTTTACTTTATTCAATGTAATATTTTAAAATTTTATATTAAAATTAAAATATAATATAACATATATATATTACATGATAATTACAATAATCTATACTACTTATAAAAGAGAATACCCATGTCAAAACTTTTGATTTCCTTTTTTACCCCCTCAATTTTTTATAACTCAAAATTATACCATTAATTATAAAACTAATGATCCATAACCTCTCATTAACTATGCACCTTTTCATTTTTTAATTATATAATAATATATTATATAATATTATTAATATATGTTATTAAAATATTATATAATATTATAATAAATATGATATACTATAATTACTATTATATAGTATTATTAATATATGTTATTAAATTATGTTATTAAAATATTAATATATGTTATATTTTATATATCATATCATATATTTATAATATAATTAGCATGTATTAGTTAAGTAATACAAAAATATTTTAAAATTATCCCAATTGCCTTCAAAGTGGAATAACATTGTTCCAATATGGAGGATGGGGTAAATTTGGGGTAATTATGAGGAAGGAGTGGAGGGGATCTTTATATAGTTGGTGTAATTTAGGGGAAAGTGGAGTATTTTCCCCCCAATTACACCAAGAAACCAATAACACCATAAAGTTGACTCCTGTTCAAATTACCCTAATGAATAACACCAAAAAGTGATGTTCCAAAAATTATCTCATTATCCCCCAAATTACACCAATGAATAACCCCCCCTAAGGGAGAAAATCCAGATGATAAAAGTTTGTGTCCCTATAGTTAAGGGAAGATAAGAAGCAAGTTTAAGTGAATATGATCTTCGTACAGTTTGGGGACCTACCTAGTGTGATCACCAAAGACGGGGTAGTGTCTATCCCTAAAGCAATCTTCGTACAGTTTGGGGACCTACCTAGTGTGATCACCAAAGACGGGGTAGTGTCTATCCCTAAAGCAAAGATCAAGATCATCAACTACGATCACTGCGACTAGCAGGCTAGTGGGTTGACCCCTATCCCCTTACCTAAGACCGAGCTTATGTGGGTGTGCCCTAACTCATAGCAGGCTAGTGGGTTGACCCCTATCCCCTTACCTAAGACCGAGCTTATGTGGGTGTGCCCTAACTCATACGTGACGAACATGAACCTCTGCCAACATGCACCGAAAAGACGCGAAAGGCAAATATAAAATGTGAAATACCATGACGATCCTCTATAGTGAGGATGAGAGGCCAATTTCTAAACTCACAGACTCTGAGGATGAAGCCCGGCCCTCGTGGCATTCACTATAACTAAGGAAGAAGAGGCAACAACCAAGATAGTCTAAGAGGCAGAGACAGTGGTAGCAATTGAGGCTCAGAATGTGAAAGGAGGACTCAGGACTGGTAGGTTGTTTCACCGACAACATGACCAAGCTGATCAGGAAGGATGGCAAACCCCACATTGACAACCAGACAACAAACCCTGTAATAGCACCACCTTCCGGAGCCCGAAAGCAAATAGCTACAAGCCTCGGCCCAGCTACCCCTTTGATATTTTGACTAAACTCACTAACATCTTGGCTGGAGTGATGCTTTGGAAGCAAATCTGGCTAGCCACGGAGGTGAAGACGATGCTACAAGAAGCCCTAAATAACCCAATGGTTTACCTCACCTAGATCCAAGCCTCCAAGGAAGGGGTTGAAGACCATGCATGCATGTGCACGTTGCCACTTGGTGGAGAGCGACCTCACTATGGTGACATTTTTCAAAAGGGATTTTTGTCTTTGGGCCCAATGGTGTATTCTATGGGTTTATGAATACATTTGAAACTAGTTGGGTTTATAAATAAATCAAGGTAAAGCATTGGGCCCAAAGACAAAAACCCCTTTTGAAAAATGTCACCATAGTGAGGTCGCTCTCCACCAAGTGGCAACGTGCACATGCATGCATGGTCTTCAACCCCTTCCTTGGAGGCTTGGATCTAGGTGAGGTAAACCATTGGGTTATTTAGGGCTTCTTGTAGCATCGTCTTCACCTCCGTGGCTAAGCCAGATTTGCTTCGAAAGCATCACTCTAGCCAAGATGTTAGTGAGTTTAGTCAAAATATCAAAGGGGTAGCTGGGCCGAGGCTTGTAGCTATTTGCTTTCGGGCTCCGGAAGGTGGTGCTATTACAGGGTTTGTTGTCTGGTTGTCAATGTGTGGTTTGCCATCCTTCCTGATCAGCTTGGTCATGTTGTCGGTGAAACAACCTGCCAGTCCTGAGTCCTCCTTTCGCATTCTGAGCCTCAATTGCTACCAATGTCTCTGCCTCTCAGACTACCTTGGTTGTTGTCTCTTCTTCCTTAGTTATAGTGAATGCCACGAGGGCCGGGCTTCATATCCTCGGAGTCTGTGAGTTCAGAAATTGGCCTCTCATCGTCACTATAGAGGATCGTCATGGTATTTCGCATTTTATATTTGCCTTTCGCGTCTTTTCGGTGCATGTTGGCAGAGGTTCATGTTCGTCACGTATGAGTTAGGGCACACCCACATAAGCTCGGTCTTAGGTAAGGGGATAGGGGTCAACCCACTAGCCTGCAAATCGCAGTGATCGTAGTTGATGATCTTGATCTCTGCTTTAGGGATAGACACTACCCCGTCTTTGGTGATCACACTAGGTAGGTCCCCAAACTGTACGAAGATCATATTCACTTAAACTTGCTTCTTATCTTCCCTTAACTATAGGGACACAAACTTTTATCATCTGGATTTTCTCCCTTAGCACAATACAATCCCTCATGCATGGGATGCTATATAAAGCAATGGAAGATGCAATAATTAGTGTCTTCTACGTTCCCTTCTTCTTCAGGCTTCTTGGGTCTCCTGAGTTAAATGAGCTCTCCCATGATGAGGCCTTCAGCTACTTTTGGTATCACTTCCAGCTTGCAGACACATACCCTTCATCATTGCAGGTGGCCTTCAGCCTAATATTGCCCTAATGAAGGCACCTAGTTGTAGTTCATGTTGGCATTAGGATGGAAGTTATTGTTCTAGTTCTTGTTTCCATTTCTTTTGGTGTTTTATCATTAGGGGGTTGTGGCTATAGTTGTGGTGCATAAACCGCCATTTCCACCTTAGCCTTCCCTTCTGGGCACGGTCTAGGGGCAGCAGGTTAGCCCTTGCTTCTGCCAGTTTTCACCACCTCTAGTATGTCACAGAGCCATGTGACCATGGCTTCCACCCTCTTAGTGTTCTTGATTAGTTCCTTCCGGGTTAATTTTACATTCGACGACCCCGAACTTCTTCAGGATGTAGTCTAGTAGGACCTCTCGGCAAGCGTCAATGAAAAACTTCACTTACATTATGTCCTTTAGTTTGAGACTGAGTCTGTAGAGCCTCTCGATGTATTTGTACCTTCTCCCCTGGCTTATAGACTCCATTCTTCACACTTTGATAGGTTACTTATAGTCGATTTCATGAAATCTCTCAATGAATTTCCTCTTCTAGTCCTTCCATGAGTTGACAAAAACTGATGACAAGCTCTCAAACTAATGGAAGTTAGGCTGACCCTTTGAGAGAACTGGCGAACATCCTCGCTATGATGATATCATTTCCTAACCATAATCCTGCTTGCGCTTCGAAATGGCAGAGGTGCTATTGTGATGAGCCAGCACTATTGAAGCTTGCACCGTGATATGCTTGTACTTTTTGAGGTACGGTGTGTTATCCCAAAAAGCTAGATATAGTCATGAGGTACGTACCATCATTCGGCTCTCCCTGTCTCCTTGTAAGAGAGTCTACCTATGTTGTTAACTTGGTCAATATTGTAGCCACGGTAGAGTCAGCATTGTAACCGAATCGTAGTGTCTATCACCTACAAATCGATTCGACTGCTCCTCGTAATGGGCGAGCTATCCATAGTAGGGCACATACATTGTCCGAGAAGTAGTGGCACATGTTCTCCAAGTGACGGATCAAACTACAGCTCAATGTTCTCACTTGTGTTTGGGATCGCCGTCTCTTTGTGCCTCGTGCTCATCCACTATTGAGGAGACGCCATGTGAACTTCATAAGCATAGTGAAACCAGTGTGGTATCAGAGGCACAAGCCCAGTGTTCATCCCTGGACACTTCTTCGTACATGGGATTTGCGATACGAAGGGCTTGGCCCATGACGTACGTCGCTCTGCTTGCCTTTGAGTAAGTTTGTTATTTGTAATGGTTCAAAAACTCCTCCAGGTTCTTGCACAGATTCTCATCTTCAATTCAATTGGTTACGTCTATATCATATGAAAATGAACAGACCCAGGCTTCGTTGGCAGCATGTTTTCAGCGGTGCCACCTCGTTTTGGGTCGAGTCTGCGCAAGACCAACAAATAGCTGCTCGAAAATAGACGCTTTAGAGCAGCTCCAAAATGCATCTTGGTTGAGCTCCAACCGGACTCCAATTTTTGGAGTCCGGCTGTAAAAACTCCCACCCGGCTGCATATTTGGAGTTTTTGCTCCAAATATGCAGGCCCCCTCCATTTCACTATTCCCCCTAAAAAATAACAATAATACCCTTCTAACTAACTAATTATTTTTAGATCACTATTCCCCCTAAAAAATAACAATAATACCCTTCTAACTAACTAATTATTTTTAGATATTCAACTTCAAATCAACATAAGTTTATTTCTGCTAATTATTTTTAAATAAAAGTTTTACAGTTGAAAATGTTTTGTCGATACCTTCAAAATGAGACTAATATTGAATAATATTAATTGAAATATAAAATTTCAAGAACCAAGTAATTAAAAATGAAAAAGTCATTATTTCATTAGTAAAAAAAGTTACATCGTTTCATTTCCATGTCTTTCCCACAAATGTTCAATCAATGCATTTCGAAGTGCAAAATGAGCTTCTTTGTTTTTCAACCTCTTATGTCGAGCAAGAAACCGTTGGAATCGTTCAGTTTCCGTTATCTCCATATTTTTAGCATTCGAAATTGATTGTGGAGTTGAAATGACAACATCTTCTTGCTCGTCGTGTTCATCTTCGACAATCATATTGTGCATTATAATACAAGCAGTCATGATATCATGCAGAGTTCGTTTATCCCAAAAACGGGCTGACCCCTTGATGATAGCAAATCGTGATTGGAGAACACTGAATGCCCGCTCAACATCTTTTCGACATGCTTCTTGCATCATTACAAAATATTGTTTCTTTTTATCATCGGAATTAGAAATGGTTTGAACAAGTGTTGGCCATTTCGGATATATGCCATCCGCCAAATAATAACCGACATCATAATTTTTTTCTTGAATTGTGTAATGAGTAGGAGAAGCAATACCTTGTGATAGATTGTCGAACAAATTAGACGACTGCAATACATTAATATCGTTATTGGATCCTGGTAAGCCAAAGTATGCATGCCATATCCATAGATCATATGATGCTACTGCCTCAAGAATAATGATTGGACCTCCATGGCGACCTGAGTATTGTCCTGCCCATGCTGTTGGACAATTTTTCCATTGCTAATGCATACAGTCTAGACTTCCTAACATTCCTGGAAAACCTCTTTCTTCGCCCTTTTGCAATAACCTTGCAACATCGTCGACATTGGGGGTCCTCACATATTCATCTCCATATACTTCTACAATTGCTCTCCAAAATCTCTTTAAACATACAATTGCAGTTGACTCATCGATCCTAACATATTCGTCAGTACTATCTGCTGATGTTCCATACGCCAACATGCAAAATGCCGATGTAATTTTTTGTAAAGTTGATAGCCCAAGTTTGCCGACACCATCCATCTTCTGTACGAAGAAGTTGTCATGCTCACGTACCGCCCCGACTATAGGAAGGAATAAACTCCTGTGCATCCGGAACCTTCTACGGAATAGGTTTGCACCATATGTAGGGTTATCAGAAAAATAGTCATGGTAAAGTCGAGAATTACCTTCTTCCCTCCCGCGATTGATCACCAAATGACCAGGAACTGAGCCAATACACTTTGGTCGCTCTGCCTCTTGAGAGAGATAAGTCATTATTTTACTATTAGAGGCATGTACGCGAGCTAAGAGTTCATCTTCCTTCTCCCATTGTGTCATATCTTCCTCCCAATCTTTAATGTACTGAGACCATATTTTGTCGTCAGAAGAAGAAGAAGAAGAAGAAGAAGGTAGATGTGACGGTCCGGCTCCATAGTTCATTGATGAAGAAGTTATTTATAGAAATAATCATATAAGTTGTGAGTTATTTAGAGATGGATGTAATGTCATTATATAATATGACTCCCCGCATTGGATTCTTTTCAGCATTGGCTTCTCACCCCCCACATTGGATTCCTTTCATGTTGGAGACTCCCCACATTGGATTCTTTTTAGCATTGGCTTCTCACCCCGCACATTAGGGGTCCTTTCGTGTTGGAGACTCCTCACATTTAATTCTTTTCAGCATTGGCTTCTCACCCCCACATTGGATTCCTTTTGTGTTGGAGACTCCCCACATTGGATTCTCCTGGTGTTGGAGACTCCCCACATCTGATCCCTATATAATACTTGCACAATTTTCATATCTCCACCACAACTCTTCTTATTCTATATTCAAAACTATTTACATTCCTCCTTAGATTATGGTAACTAGTCGCGGAAAATCTTTTTTACAAGAAGAAGACCAAGTTTTATGCGCCACGTGGCTCGAAATTTCTCAAGATCCAGTCATAGGTTCTAATCAAAAGAAGGACAAGCTGTGGGAATGAATTTCTGCTTTATTTCATGAAAGGATTTCCAATATTTGTAATGCTCAAAGGACTCCGAAGTCTCTTTCATGCCGAATGCAATTAATTATGAAGGCCATCAGTAAATTTCGAGGATGTATTCGACAAGTCAAGTGCTTAAATCCAAGTGGTGCTTCTGAGCTTGACATTGTAAGTATTTTGAATAACATAAATCTTGATTATCATCTACTATCATGTTATTAATAAATGTTTCTTCCTCTCTTGTGGTAGATTAAACGTGCTAGGATAATATTTGCAGAAGATCCAGAAGAGAGAAAGGGGTTTCTATTTGATCATGTTTGGTTAATTTTAAAAGATGCAGAGAAATGGGCAAATATAAGTGTCAGATCGCCTGCAAGTTCCAAAACTTCAAAGTCCTGCTCATCTCAGGGATCAGATTTAAGTTCTCCTGTCGTCGACTTAAATGACGATAATGAGGAATATACTCATAATGATGAAGATATGATAACAAGTTGACCGACAGGAAGGAAGAAAGAGAAGATGAGGAGGCGACAGGCAACTGAATCCAACCTCGACTTGGAAACTCTCAATAAAAGCAATCAAGAAATTGTCGATATTTTAAAAAAAAGTCATGGACAACGAGAAAATGATAGAATAGCAATGCACCAGATTATGATGTTAAGGGCCGAAAACGAAAAGAAAAAATTAGATATTCAAAGGGAACGCCAGGAAAGTAAGATTATGTTGATTAATCTTGATACTATTACTGATCCTTCGGAACGCGAGTATTTTCGAATTAAAAACAAGAGATTTTAAATAGAAACACAACTGGAGGTTCTTCATCTGATATTCCTAATCCTGAATATAGTTATACAGGAAGTCAATACGGAATACCTGACTACAGAAGCGGTGGATATGGAGGAAATGGTCTGCCCGATTTTTAGTTTTTTTCATGTACTTTATTTTTCTATGTAATGACGCTGAATGTAATATATAAAATTTCATCATTCGGAGTAGCTGTGAAGGTTGTTCCAAATATTATGCTATATTTTCTGTTTTTTAAATTTTAAAGGCTCTTATCTATGTCTTATTATCAATTTATTAAAGATAATTAATTTTATTTAAATAATGAGTATATTATATATTATACTTTTAGTATTAATTTATAATATATTTTATATTTTAAATTAATTCATATAATTTTTTAACATTTTATATTTTTTATATTTTCAAATCTATTTAAAGTATTATAAAAGAAATCAATAAAAAATACAAATAGAGTTTCATATAGATGGGGTGGTTGGAGTGCCCCCCTCTAAAAAAACATATGCCCAAGAATATACTTTGGGGAGGCTGTATTTTGCAGCCTCTCCATTGGAGTTGCTCTTAAGGGATGGAGTCTCCATCGGTTGGGATGCATGAGACCCAACCAGGGCTTTGGCTTGACGGAATATCGTACGACATAGGGTGTGCCCAATAGTTACAATATGATACGGACTACGTTGAGGGATGACGGCTAACAAGACATGAGCGATTAGATGTTAACTGCTAATTTCCACCCTCTGGAGAGGGGACCAGCTGAGGAGCTTTGACGTCAAGTAGCTTTGATGGTCAGCGAATAGTTCCGAGCTCTCTACCCCTCTTAGGGGGGGAGACCTCGTAGTCCTTGGCTTTAGCCATGCATGGATCTTGAGTCAAAACAACGTAAGGGTCACTTTGGTTTGTTCATCTATTTTGGCCAGCCTGTGGGCTCTCCTTCCTGCATGCCGTGAGGTCATGACCTACAATTCTTCATCTTGCTACTCAGACTAGGTTGTATAGACAACGGTACATCTTTCCAATCTCAAATCTTCTACAGTGTTGGGTTTCATGATCACTTGAATAGAACTTGACTTAGCTTGATATTCCGTGAGGACTATTGATGTGTTCTCACTAGGTTGGTCATCCGTGGGATGATAGGAGTAAGTGGACACCGACTTTAGTTTTGAATGTTGGACAGGTTAGTGTGCAGTTTTGTCGTGCTCGAGGGTCGAGTTCTTTAACCTTTCGAGAGAAATCCACTTAGCCTTTGACAGAGACTTTGTTATCTCAGCTCCAGTGGGACCCTGGACTGTACTTGTTGGGAATTTAACGCCTAAACCCCTAATTGCAACAAAAACGCAGAATAGAGAACAGTACACCAAGTTTTAACGAGGTTCGGCAACTGCCTACGTCCTCGGAAGCCACACAGTAAATTTCTTATTAATCAAACAAGAAATTACAATTTAGGAGCAAATCCCAAAACTGGGATTTCTTAAATAAACACTGTAGCTACAGTGTTAATAATCAAAGGGTATGAACCCTTTCAATTCTCACTTGAGAATAAATGAATAACCCCACAATATAAAACCCCTTTTTGTTCTCTCTCTCTCTTCTTAAATCCCCTCAACCACTGTTGAATGCTGGGATTTAATCAAAAATCGCAGCAGCGATTTTAGGGCAGCCGCCAGAGAGAAAATCGGAGGAGGGGGGGAAATCAGCAACAGCGAAACCCTAGGCGAGGGGGTTTATATAGGCGGATATGGAGGGCTGGCGACAGCCTGTCGCCAGCGAATAACCCTGACGCAAAGGTCGGGTTCGCCAGAGGAACGCAGAGTTCGGCTGAAGGAGGTTCGAACGCTGAGCTAAAAGGAGAGGGGGGTCGAACGCAGAGCTGGGTTCGAACGCAAAGCTTGGGAGAGGCGCTCGCACGTGCTGCCGAAGATCGCCTGGACCTCGCCGCCTGTGGCTTCGCCTGCGTCGCCATCGAGCTCGTCGGAGCTCCTCGCCGGTGCTCCTCATCGGAAATGAGGTTTGATCTACACCCCAATTCTAACAATCTCCCACTTGAAGATCAAACCGCCATCAACAAGCTATCTCATCAAGCTCCTCTTCTGTGTGGCTCCGCCCTTATTATCTATGCATGAAGGCCAACTGAAGTTGCGCACAACTCCAGTTTCTGAACAGTCACCGTCTTTGTTAACATGTCTGCTGGATTCTTACTTCCTAGAATCTTTTCCAGTTTCAACACGTCATCTTCCAACAGGGATCTGATGAAGTGGTACTGAAGTGCAATATGCTTTG